ATACTCAAGGATGTAATTTATTCCCTCCTTTTAGCTTCAGAAACAAAAGGTTGTATTAATGTGATAAATGGCGAAATCACTTCACTAACAGAATTTAATGAGACATTAACTTACTATCAATTCCTTGAAAAATAAGATCCTTATATTCAAGTTGTTGTGAGATGAAAGACACATGCCAAGCACTTTTAACAATTTCAAGTTGTCCTCTTCAGTACACAATTTTCTTATATATAGGCAAATACTAAGATGAACGATGTGTAGACCAAAAGATTTTTTTTAAAATTATGCTATTTATTGACAGTTGTGTTTTAACATTTCCTGAAGAAGTACAATCAAAGTATTGATACATGAAATTTTTTGTGTAGCAATTTCAACATGTTTTTATTAAAATAAAAATAATAATAAGCAGGATGTGTGTGTGAGTGTAACAAATGCAAGGCCGCAATTTTCAATGGATTTGCACCAAAATTTACATGCACCTGCTCCAAGTTAGCAGGAAGGCCAAGACTGACTTTGCATTTCCCAACTCCCATCCATAGTGGAAATAATTGATTTTTTCATGCTTCTACAGTAGTTTTTATGTAGTTTGCGGCCATTTTCTACGGGCCAGAGTGAGAGCCTATAGCTGGCTGCCATGAATAGGCAGGAAGATTGGCCAGTGTGAGAACCAACAGCTGACTGACATGAATGTTAACTAGCATGCTAGCATGAAAAAAAATTGATAGCTGCATTTGTCACAAATGGGAAAAATTTAAATCTGCATGGCACTTTACTCCAATTGGCTCATTCACTTGCTTAAAATCAACGTTGATTCTAATTCCACAGAACTGGGTTGGGTGTGAAAAAGTATTTGTTGTTAACATTCTTTTTCCATTCAGTTTTTCCAGTTAACGAGTCCTTTTTTAAAGCTGATCATTTTATGTTCATTTTGTTTAGTTCTTTTTTCATAACAGATTTAATGTTTAGTATAGAGCTTAAAAAAAATTCGCAGTGTGAGATAGGCAAGAAGTAAGGCATGTGGTAACATCAGCAAGGCAAAGGGCACTCCTTTAAAGGCAAGGAAGGGCAAAAATATTTTAAGTCAAGTGATAGCAATTGCTGTATGAGTCGTACGATTTTTGAATCAAGCACAGGCAATGCTGCTAGTAATAATATACTGCCCTACTTTATATTAAGCACTTTTTTCAAAGTAAATGCTATGAACTGTGGAATTTTACTCCATCTGTTCTTCCTCTCATTTGATATATATATATATATATATATATATATATATATATATACAGATATATATATATATATATATATATATATATATATATATATATATATATATATATATATAAGTAAAAGTCAAATGTAAATCAATGTTTAAATTCTAATTGAAAAATGAACTTTATAAAAATATTTAAAATTATATCCATCCAGCATAACTGTTATTTTATATATAACTTAATCCTTTATACATATATGATGGCTGTCGCCATGCTCAATGATTATGACCATTGCTAACAAGTTTGCTCAATGTTTATCTTGTAAGAATGACAATGCCACATGAAGTGTCAAGTGACTTTCAATTTTTATTGCAGATGTGCGGAATTTATTTGTTCTGTACATGACTTAGCTTATCTTGTATCATCTGTTCAGATTGCTCATGGGTTTCCATGTGATGGGAGAGACTCGAGCAGTTTCCTGACCTACTCTCAGACAAACAATATGGCTTCCGTTTTGCCAGGTCTACCGTCGATGTGTTAATGGCCATCAGTGAAAATGTATATCAAGCTCTTGATAATAATGGCAAAGCATTTGACAGAGTTTGGCATGGTGGTCTTCTATGTAAGCTCCAGGGCTACAGTATTATAGGGTGTTTGTTTGATTTAATCCAATCATTCCTATCAATTTGTAAAATGAAGGTCATTCTGAATAGGCTCACTTCCAGATCCTTTCACTCAGATGTGGATATCACCCAACACTCTATCTTGGATCTTACTCTGTTTCTGATCTTCATCAATGATCTACCTGATGTCACCAGTTCCCAATTATTTATCCAGATGACACTACCATTTCCTCTTGTCTCAAGAGCAAATCCATCAGAGCTGACAAAGTAAACCAGGTTGCTAACAAAGGATCTCCAATCAGTGGCTAACTGGGGCAGGAAATGGTTTGTAAATTTTAAAACCTTCAAAACAAAACTGCTCTCATTTAACCACCATAGGGAAACTTTTCTGCCTGCCATCAGCATGGCTGATGCTTGACTTCTGGAGTGCAACACACTGAGCCTTGTTGGTCTCATGTTTTCAACTGACTTTCAAAATGGAGCAACTACATCAAATCAATAGCTGCATCTATTGCAAGGAAAGTTGGACCACTGTGTCATGCCAGAGAATTTTTCTGTCTTGCACATTTGCAAATCTATCATTCATTCATGCATTGAGTAGTGTTTTGGTGCTTCTGCTATTCATCTTGAGGCTCTTGACAAAATCTAATGAAGGATCTGCAATGTAATCAATCATGACATGGCATCTCGACTTCTCACTTTCTCATTGACATGGCATGGCTTTCCTCTGTCTTTTCCATTAATATTTTCATAGCATTTGATCTGATGAGCTTTTTTCCCTGGTGCCCTGACAACATGAACTTAAGCATGCTACTAGATTGGCATCTAGATCCCACCCTTTTACTGTTGAAATAGTTAAATGCAACTGCCATTTCCACTCCAAGTTTCTTTCCGCATACTTCCCACTTGTGGAACTCCCATTTACTTGGTTCCCTGATAAATACAGTCTTCAAAAATTTAAATGCAACATCAATCGCTGTCTTCTTGAATCCTGTTCATCTTTTGTCCTTTCATCAATCCTCCCTATAATCAGTTTTTTCTCTCACTTTCAGTCTCTGTAACCGCCTTTATACTAGTTGCATTCTCAAATTAATAGGGATGAAATGATTAAAAAATGTCCATATATTCTTCTTTGTACTTTATCAAGAATCTCTAAATACATAACAGAAGCACCAGGAACAAAAATTCAATGAATGGAAAAATGGTAGAGTTGTAACATAATCTCTGTGATGTGTCCATTTTGAGGGAATTCTGCTGTGTTGCTTTTAATAGATCACATTCATGTACAATAAAAACATTTCCACTGAATACATGAATTTGTGTAAATCATTAATTTAATAAAGGGCTCCAATTATTACTAATTTATATATTTTATTTATTCATTTGTTTATTTTCATGAATAATTGTTACATCCCATATATATATATATATATATATATATATATATATATATATATATATATATATATATCCATATTTTACATGCCATATATATATATATATATATATATATATATATATATATATATACTCATATATAAAAATAAAAATGAGTAAAATAAATTAATCAAAATAATAAATAAGTAAATAATTAAGTAAATAATAAACAAATTAACAAACCATGAGTGCACAAATAAACACAAGTAAACATAATAACAATAAAATAATCAATAATAAATAAAAAAGTTAACACGCTATAAATAGCCAAAAACTGCATCATGAACAATAATTATTTCGGCTCAATAGCCCCTAGAATAAACTGAAACATAACTGTCACCACCCACAAAAAATAACTGCTAGAACAATACAATAGATTACCCACAATGCCTGAATGACCTGTATATTTAAATAGGCAGGTAAAAACACAATGCATAGGACCTGACAATTGTGTACAAGCAGGAAACAGACTGTTGCAGCTCGGTGTTGACTTCAATGTCCACTTATATATATATATATATATATATATATATATATATATATATATATATATAATGTAAACTCATCCATTAACTCCTGAGAAATTACATTATTTACATTTTGGATATGAAAATAAAATCCATAGATATGAGATCCCAACAAGAGATCTGCATTTCTTAAATATACCCTTGTTTGGCTGTGAAAACTTTCTGTAGCTGAGTGCTTTAAAGCACACTTGCTTTAAAATGATTTTCCCCTATAATGGGAGTGTCAAATAAAAACTTGCTAGAAGGCACATTTTCTTTATTAAGACTCAAATTCATAGGCCAGTAGACATAAATTTAGTTTAAAATACACGTATGTCAACTGAAACATGTATATCCACTAAATATAATGTTTAAAGTCATGAGAAATAATGTCGGATTATAAGTAAATTTCATTAATTCCTTAGAAATTACTTCATTTGTGTTTTGAATACAAAAATAAAGTCCATAGATATTGGCTTCAAGGGATTATAATGAGAGATATGCATTTCTTAATAAGGATAATTGAGCCTTCCTTGGTGTTAAGCCTGGCTGGTCTCTCTAATTTAATAGGGACACAAGTTTGAAAAGTTGCAATTTCTCTGTCAACTCTCGAATGCCCTAGACCATAAATTTCCTTTAAGGTTCTTGAATGCATAGGCCGGTAGATGTAAAAAAAAAAAACAATAATAATAATATTGTTGGATTATAAATAAAATTCATTACTTCCTTAGAAATTACTTTGTTTAAAGTTCAGATGTGAAAATAAAGTCACTAGATATGGGCTTTAAGCAATCACAATGAGAGATGTGTATTTCTTATATAGGGTAATTGAAACTTGCTTAGCTGTGAAAGCTTTCTGTGGCTGGGTGATCTAAAACACACTGGGATTTAAAATGGTTACCCAATAAGGAGGATATAGATTCAAAACATGTTAGAAGGCACATTTTCTTTAATAAGACTCTCAAATACACAAGATGGTTGACATAACTTTACAGCATTTAAAAAGCATGGATATCAACTCAAACATGTGTATCCACTAAATATTACATTAAAGTTTATAGCATATTTATGTATACACTTTTACAAGCAATTAATAGGAATACAAGATTTGGATGGTGTATCTGGATTCAAGCATAGCACAATTTACTGGAAAATGTAAATGATTGAACAACCATAGAGAAAATATTGAACTTAAAATCTGAAAAGTTTATAATCATACTCACCAAGTTGACAGTCAACTCCTTTGAAGCCCACTTTACATGTACAAACATAACCATTGTCTTTGTCTGTGCAGAGCGCATGATTCTTGCATGGCTTCAGACCACAAGCATTCACTGCAAAATAATTAAAAGCAGTTATTAAATACTCTCTACTATTCATAACATTTCTTTAAAACATTCAAAAGTAAGTAACATTAAAAAAAATATTTGTTTTGTCTATATGATGATAATAATGAACCTATCTCATCCTAGCCCTTTCAATACTAACCACCTGGTATAAAAAGCCGTTCTTGCTGGCTGGTGGTGCATTGAGAGAAAAACACGTGTATCTCATGAAATGCCCACAACAAACATGGCAGACTTGGAATGAGTCAACATAAAAAAAATGTAAAGAAAGAACAAGGACCAATATATATGCGTACAAACAAATGATAACCCACTTGATAGGGTTACAAGCAACAAAGAAAGTAATGTAGCAAATGAATGTGGAAACTTTTGGTCCAAAGTATGTGAATGAGTCAATGTGCATATGTACATGTGTATGTATGTAGTGTCCAAGTGTTTCCCAAAAAAGAGAATGCATTATAATGCCGTTCTTCCACAAGGACTTTACATGTTGATGTAAAAAGTGTTATGGTCTGGTTCCTTGTACCACGGTGATAGTCCAAGGTAGAACCAATAAAGAACTCGAAGGCAGATATGGAATAACACAGATATATTACAAACAGGAATATATACAGAGAAGTAGAAAGTGTTAGTACAAACAATCAGGTTTAGTAGTAATTGTCTGAACACGACTCTGTTTTGGACTGCCTCTGACTTGACTGACTGACTCGCTCACTCTGACTGTCAGACTCCTGACGGACTTCACTCCAGACTTCAGACGGAACTCCCTGCTTTCTCTTGAGGTGCAGTATTTATTACGCATGGAATAGTCCATTATGTTATTATTGGTAAGGTCCCATAACAAAAAGTAAGAAGAGAGTGATAAAAAAAATTATCACAATATATCTATAGTGCCAGAAAATGTCCCCTAGGAGCAGTTTCGAAAATTAGGAGGAGTTAACCTGACACTGTCTAATTTAATTTCATTTTGCCAAATAAAGCTTCTCAACTTTATATTCAGCATTGTTTATTCATTACAGTCTAGAATACTTCTTTTTTTTAATTAATTCTGGTCAGGTCAGGTTTAAGCCTGCTACTGATAACATGTAATCCAATACAACTTGCCACACGGACAGGTGGTTGGTGGCTAAACCAAACCCCACTAGCTTTTCTGCTGATGAAGAGGGTGGCATGTCACTTACAGGACAAAAAACACTTGTCAAGGCATGGAAGAGTTTCTTATAGAAGCTAATAGTCAATATGAAGCAACCACATGTCTAGCCACGCAGAAGAGATGTGATAGAGCGAAACTGTCTGTGGATGACTATATATGCTCCCACTTGTCATTTGAGTACTTTGGATAAAAGGGTATTTGATGGCTGTTGCTGCTATAATGCTAAACTCTTCATAATGAATAGAACACTCTGGCAGCTGATAATGCTTATATTATGTATATAATGCATTAAAAAATTCCCTTTCTCCATACTGTGCATTGATAGAATAGGGGTAAGAGTCTCCAACTGATGTCAAATCAGTCAAGTTTCAATCCCAATTAGAAGTAAGCATGTGTCTAGTCAAACTGAATAGCTGTGATATAGTGAAACAGTCTGTCTGTGGATAACAATATATATATATATATATATATATATATATATATATATATATATATATATATAACCCTGGGATGGTGTCTCAAGCCTTGAATGGCAACTTTCCTTGAGATAACATCTCAATAAAAATACTTGGTGTACTTAGACTACTGTGAGTGTCTGAGTTTGGCATCAGAAAGAGCATCCGACCTTAAAATCATTATGACAAGAGGTCTTCCATTAGACAGGACCCATCTTGGTTTGTGTGAAATTAACCCTGTTTCTGCCACAAAAAAAAACACAAAATACAGTTGTATATGCATATAGACATTATCATTTTATAAACTAATTTCCTTGAAATGTAGTGATTATTATTGAATTATTTTGACAAATTTGAACCTATGTACCCACAAAAAATGTGTGTCAAAAAGACGTTTTTCCATTGATAACTACCTTTACTCTTTGCCAATGTTTATTGTTTTGAAAAGTGATGATTAGTATTTTAATAAGACCTGAACATATGAAAGTGAATTTATACATTATTTTTGTCCTTGAGAATTTACAACAAAAATATTAAACACTATTTATTAGATTGTTTATGGGAATGATTGGCAATTGTCTAATTATCAATCGATTTGAACTTTATAAAATGGTAAATAATAAAGATTTCCTTATAGTTGGTACACATATTTTAATAATTTAGTAAATGTTTGTAAATTTATGAATCACAATTTGTTTACATAATTATTTCTTTATAAAGAGTTATTGATAAATATTGCATTGCATCAGTTGTAATTGTATTGGTTTTTAGATGGTTTGTAAATATAAGATTATTTTTGTATATAAACACTCTAATAAATAAATACAGTTCAATATTTTTGTTGTAAATTCTCAAAAAAACAAAAAACAGATAAGTTTTTAAGAAAGGGTTTAGTTTGAAATTCCCAGAAGTTTACAAACTACAACAGGCACTTAAAGACAGAATCATAATAACAATCAAGACGAGGATACAAGTCAGAGTAATGTATGAAAAAGATTATTTGTATCTTAAACATTTCATTTTTTTCAAATGAGATGTTTTTCATTCTTTTTAAATATTTCACCCTTTCAGAAAAGAGCTGATTATGACTCTCCACTCTTTCTACAATGATTGTTCTTGGGAATACAAGTGGAGTAGTTTTATCTTTATTATTTCCATGATTTTAAATTTTAATTTTCCATCTTATAGACTGTTTGCACAGCCAAGTATAGAAAACTTGATCTACTCTATGATTTTACTTTTTACTGAGTAAGAGAAGGGATCAGTTCATGCCTTTTCTAAGGATACAATTTTAACCTATTCAAGTCTAGAATCAACCGTTATTTTTACCTCTTTTCCATATAAACTACCCTTTATTGTAACCCTCTATCTTGAGTAGCCCATGGGCCTTGTACAGGGTGAAACTTACTGTAAGAAAAAATAAAAAAGGGAACACAAGAGCCTTGACTGAAATTTGAATTCAACCTACTGTTTCTATCAACGCCACCACACATCTTTCATTAGTTATTCTAAAAGGAGAACATTTTCTTAATTTCCAGTTTGAATAGTTATGATATGGAAGAAAGGCATCAAAAACCAGAATCCCCAATGCTAAGCAAAAATAAGGAACTCACCCTCAGAACAGGTATGACCCTTAAAGCCAGCTTTACATTTGCAGAAGAATTCTTTTTCTCTGTTGAAACACTCAGCTCCATTTTTGCATGGCTTCAGTCCACAAGGATTTGCTGAAAATAAGAAATGAATAAAATTAGCCGAACAAAATTAAGTAGAAACCTATAGAAATATTTTTATTTGTAAATTTTTAAACTTTTAATTTCATGAGATTTGCTTCCTAGAAATGTTCAAAAATATGACCAATTTCATATTTATCTTACAAATATTGTTTAAGATAACTTAATAGCAATGAATTAAATTAGCACTTTCTATAGAATTTCAAATTCATCATTCTGTCAAATTAGATAAAGGGTCAATGATACTTAATCAATCAATGAGACAATTGTTAGAGTGTTCAGAAAGTAATTACATTCTACCAGAAGAGATAGTAAAACAAACGTAAGTTAAACTTATGTTAATTTTATTTATCAAAATATAATCATTTTCATTTTCATTAAAAGCAGCCCAAAGGAGAGGAAAGTTTTTGATTCCATGTTTAAAGAAATCTGAGTGTTATGAATAATCAAGAGTGGTCTCTCCTTGTTTTGTTACTCTCCTCTTTGAGAGAGCTATTTCTGTTTACTGGGACTATAAAAGGACACTATATGCAAACTGTGTATTCTCAGTTAAATAAAGCTTTCTTAATGCCTACACCTGTGTACTTTTGTCATTACACTGGGGTTGCCCCACTTCCCAAATTTGAAAGATTCTTTTCAACTTTTGTTTCTGAATATTCTACCCTTTATGAAATGTTCCAGTGACTGAATAACATGAAAATCTTTAGGTTTTAAATTTGGTGATAATGGTTAGTTGATTTTGTTTAGCAGCATATCAATCTATTTAATGCCAACATGAAAATATTTTGAACACAATTTTATGGCTTCAACTAAATATATTTTAAATGCAGTTGTATGCTTTCAACTACAGATAAAATGTATTGTCAGTCATTTTGCTTTAAATATGAATTATTGGTAAGTTTACTACAAATATGAATATTTGGTAGGTTGATTTTGCATATCAACACCTCTGTAGGTTATTTAATGCTGAAATGTAAATATTCTGTATGTAATTTTATGCTTTCAACTACAGATATTTTGTAAATAATTTTATACTTTCAGAAAAAGCATATGCTATTTAAATACATATTTTGTAGATCATAAAATCTATTGTTGGTCAGTTTATGAAAAATTAATTGTTGATTTTTGTTTTGGGGGTTCACTATTTGCTCATTGCTGGGATGCTAACAGGCGCTACCACTCTGGGTCAGGGTGGACCTGGAAGCAACAACAATTAAAAAGTGGTTCCATGCTCCTCAAAACCTCCAATTTTCCGATCAGAAGCCTTGCTGCCAAATGTAGTTTTTTCCAAGGCCAGGACAACTATAGTAGTTTTCTGTATGAAGGGACATCTACTATAAAACTAATGAGGCTTAAGGTTCAGGGCTTCTAATCCCTCAGGGATCTCTGAAGCAACATTTTTAATGGGTCAATTTTTCAACAAAATCAGTGTCTTTTTTCTTAAGTGTTTGATATTAAAATAAATCTATTTTTTGAGATAGATTCATAAGCGAATGGGTTGAAGTACCCAATGTTCACCTTAAATATGCTCAAATACCCATTTTATATGTCCTCAAAATTCCTCTGTAATTGGTCAAATTTCAAAATTTAAGGGGTGGGGCTTGCAGCACCTGATCACCCAGCTGTAGGGATTCATTGAGCTCACCAGAATCTATTCATAGCCTAAATTTTGACATTTGGTTCCTTGAATCTATTGTGACTGGTTTCAAAGGTTCTGCCATATCTGTCCAAGCTTCAGGGCCACAAAAATGTATGTCCACCATGTAGTAGTGAAATATGTAATTATTTTCTGAATGCACTAATAGAAGAGACAATAAATACATTTTCCTACCATTCAGCCATGAAATATATATAAATCTTTCCTTTAAATCCCTGTTTGCATTTACAGAAGAATTCAGTTCCTTGATTAAAACACTTTGCTCCATTTTTGCAAGGTTTCAATCCACATGGATTAACTACAAATTATGTTGACTCATAATTTATAGCATTGAAATGCATAATACTTTCAAAAATATCCAAATATTAAAATGTCCGAATATCTGAAGCATATTGAAAAGATACACAATTCATTTTCCCTCAAAATATTGTACATTACTTAAACCTCAGAATTTCAATACTCACGTTCAATACACGTTAATCCCATGAAGCCTGCTGTACACACACATCTGAATTTGTTTTCATCATTAAAACAATAAGCTCCATTTTTGCAGGGTTCAAGTCCACATGGGTTCGCTGGAAATATAGCAATGTGTGGGGATAATCAATTGGCTGTTAATAATATTTAATCTATATTCTGACAAGCATAATTTGAAACTATTTTTTTTTCCAGTTATATATATATCCACTATTTTCCCAGTTCACTATAGGAGCCAGGATTTCCCTAGGGTCTGTGTAGGCATGGTAGAGTTATGGCCTTTACCCTTACATTCTAGCCCATGACATGTTGGCAGGGGATTTGAATAAAGAAAATAAAATGGGAAGGAATGGAAAAGAATGTAAGTAAAGAATATATGAAAGACTTACGATTTACTGATGGCATTTTATTAATAGTGGAAGAATACTAAATGACCGAAATAGAGAAAAGTATAGAACTAGGTTTAAAAATGGACAGAAATAAAAGAAATATTCAATTATAGCAATCTCACACAAAAAAAAAAAAAAAAGACGGAAAACAGGACTAGAAGTCAAAGAATTCATAAACTTACTACAGGTGATAAGACTGAAGTAAGATGATGGAAATATATAAAATTATTGTATTATAATTCTTCATGTTCTTTAGTGTATAGTAACTGGCCATGATTAAATGTAATTGGCACAAATGCCCAACAAACATAACTAAGTTTACAATAAATAATAAGAAAGGAAAGAACAGGGCAAAAATAATACTTTGATGCCTTGACCATGACCCCTGTCCTTCTCTATATCCTTTCCTCAAACACCCTCTTTACTCTTGCTCTCTGTAACCCCTTGCGTGCTAATGCCACTCCCACCTTGCTTGGGGTGAAATGCTTAAAAAAAAAATTTCCTACAAGACTTGTATCTTTAAAAAAAAAGAAACATGTACTGAAAAATAATTTTAAACATGTATTGAAAAACAATTTTAAACATGTACTGAAAAATAATTTTAAACATGTATTGAAAAACAATTTTAAACATGTACTGAAAAATAATTTTAAATTTCGCCTCTTTCTTTTTCTCCATCTCTTTTATTCTCTTTTTCTATCTCTGTCTTTTTTTCTCTTTTTCTCTCATCTTCCTCTCTTTCACTTTCTTTTTCTTTTCACTCTTTTCCACATCACTCTATTCTATTTCTATCTCTTTTTCACACTAGCTCTCTTTCTTTCTTGTTCATTTTCTTTTTCTATTTCTCTATCTCTCTCATTCTCTTTTGTTCATTCTCTCTTTCTGTCTCTGTCTTTTCTTTCTTTTTCAGTTTTCCTTTCTTTTTCTTTTCCTCTCGATTTCATTTTCTTCTATTTCTTGCTCATCTTTCTCAACCTTTCACATCTATTTCTCTCTCGTTTTCACTCTAGCCCTCCATCTTATTGTGTTCACTTACCCTTTTTTGTCTCATTCAGGATTTATGATTTTCACTTTTTTCTTCTCCCTCTTTTATCTTCTATTTCTCTCTTCTATTCTCTTCTGTTTCTTTCTTTTCCCCATTCTTTTTTTTCACTCTTTTTTTCTTTATATTTGTTTCTTTTCCTCTTCCTTCCTCTCTCTCTCTCCCACACATTCTTTTTTCCTTGCCATCTCTTTTTACATTATGCATTTATTTTACAAGATTGATATCTTAAATATCATAATGCTCTAAATAGTGTACACTCACGTTCAACACAAGTTCTTCCCATGAATCCAGCTGTACATACACATCTAAATGTATCTTCATCATTGAAGCAATTGGCACCATTCTTGCAAGGTTCAAGCCCACAAGGGTTGACTGCATAAGAGAAAACAATTATATTAAACATTAACGTCAAATATAGAATACATATATTTTAATCTTAAAATTTGTAAGAATAACACAAATATATCAAAAATAAGTTTAATTATGCAACTGACCTTCAGAGCAGGTTTTTCCTTTAAATCCTTGTTTGCATTTACAGAAGAATTCAGTTCCTTGATTAAAACACTTTGCTCCATTTTTGCAAGGTTTTAATCCACATGGATTAGCTACAAAATAACAAAATGAATTTATTAATTTCTGTTAATATTTATTGCAAACCCCTCTTTTAAAATATACAATAATAGCTGGCCATTCGTATTCAAGGATACCTGTCTACTAGGGTGGCTAGCCAATCCATATTGCAGACTCTCACCCAAGTACATTTGTGTTTGTTCAACACCCATATATACTGTTTATGCTGCAACTATACTGAGCAGACCTTAGTTACAGTTTCTGGAAGAGAGCCTGTTATCTACCATGATCAACAATCTGAACAATGCCAGCAAACTCAAACCCTCAGTCACATTGACTTCTGACTTTGTGCTAGCACAGCTATCAATGGCCCCCATGTGTTCCATCTACCTAGTTTCACTCGCAAGGTATGTGTCGACTCGTGGTATGGTTTTCAGACACTTTCCAAAGGTGTTGAACACTGGAATTGTCCCCTTCCAGACCAATAATGTCAGGTAGTTTCCTTTCTGACAAATCAGCTATGGTGAGATTCAAACCCAGGTCTCATGGTCAGAAAGCAAATGTTCTAACCACTTGGCCATTCTATTAGTTGTAAAATATACAACTCATACACTTACTGCATGACTAGGACATAGACCGAGCATTGCATAATATATTAAGATAATAAATACAGTAAAAAACAAAATCGTAAGTCACTTGGCTTTCAACAACAGCAACAACTAAAATGGATATCTCATGAAACTTGAAGAGAAATTAATAACATAATCAAGATGTTGGCTTTCCACATGACATCAAACAAAAGGTTAGAAAGGAAACCCCCATCAATAATAGAAAGAGCAGTAACAGTTAGTAAACTTAAATTTATTTTCCTGAAAAATTGTTTTAATATGAAGATTTTATAATTTTAAATCCAAAGTCGCACTGGCTGTTCAGGCAATGAATGCCAAAGGTTTCCTTATAAGGAAACAAGTAAAATTACCTTTATCATGACCCCTTTTTTGGGATTGTGGGTATTAAACCGGATCATAGTCTTTTATCAAAGTGAAAAAAAATTCTGGATGTCTATCAATATTGAGAGAATAATTCTCAAGAAAAATTTAAAAGTAACAATATTAATTGCAAGAATAAGTATCTGTTACTTACGTATTACGCAGGTTTCTCCCATAAAACCAGGTGTGCAAATGCATTTGTACTCATCTTCATGATTGAAACATTTAGCACCATTCTTACAAGGTTGAACTCCACAGGGATTGGCTGTAAACAAAAACATTCATGGAATTTATTCAAAGCTATATGTAACATATTTCAGTACCAAAACATAATTTTGGTCTGAATTTTTAGATAAAGAATTATTACTAATATAATACTACTATATATTACTAATTATTACTAATATATTACTACTATATTTTGCTAATTATTACTAATATATATTGATTTACTCAGACGAGTATCCATATCTTAGTTGTTAAAGTCACAGAGTTTGGAATATAAGCTCAAGAATTCTTTCTAGTTGACAACCTCAGGATTACAGCCACATCATGTGGAAACACCAGTTCTCATATGATCACCAAAGTTAAGCAACATCAAGCTTGGCAAGTACCTAGATGGATGATTGCTTGGGAATACCAGGTGCTGTAAGATTGGATGTGCGGGTGATGTAATGCAGTGCTACTCAAAGTGATTGTCCATGGACCTGTGTCGGTATGTGAACCATCAGTGTCCAGGTCATACTAAGGAATCATTTGAAGCTTATTTTTTTATGTTTTGATTATTGAATTATTTTTTGCAAAATAAATGGAAGATAAAAATAATCAACTTTTATTACATTCATTATATATATATATTGTTTCTGGAATAAATTAATATTACCACAAAATATTACTGGTACATGACACATTGAAAAAAAAAATGCCAGTCTACCATAACAAATAGTTTGAGAAGCACTGGTGTAATGGATAATGATTCAGAATTATTAATTACTCACTATCCCCAAAAAGGAGTTCCAGGAATGCTTTCATCAATGGAAACAATGCTAGATAAAGTATGTGGCTTCAAAAGTGGACTACCTTGAAGAAGATTAAATGCTGAATTGATATATGCTGTAGTTTACTTTTTATAGCACCAGTCCTGATACTTTTGGATCAGACCTCATATATTAATAATAAAAAAATGTAAATAAACTTACAATAAATAAAAGCTCTTCAAAAGAATTTAACATCATTAAAGAAATTGCATCCAGTAATTATGACTCAGAATAAAAGACTGACAATAATTTTGAAGAGAATAAATTTACTTTTCATTATTCACTCTGGTGTATATAATGTTTTATAGGATTGGAGATCTTACATATCGATCAACACTTGTAATTTTGAAGATAAATTTTGATACCAGTTCATATTATGCTATCTGATCTAAAACTTGATTTATACAACTGGAAACCTTAATTATCAATCAAATCAATCACAAATATTTACCTAACTCAAAAATACATATAAAATAAATATCTTTTTCAAAAGACTATCGATTAATTAAAATTATAGTACTGATATATTTTACATTAAAATATATCCATTAAATTTTGTTATTGCATACAGTTGACTCATATAAACTGAAATACTCACGCAAAATGCAGGTTCTTCCCATGAAGTCCGCAGTGCATACACATTTGAAGGTATCTTTTTCATTGAAACATTTGGCACCATTTTTGCAAGGCTCAAATCCACATGGATTGACTAGAAAAGACAAAATGTTCATATTTGCAGTGAAACAGACTGTTATGATCAAAGTTAGCAGCCATAGATATTCTACGTATACTGACTCAAAGTTGCCCGTGAGCTATAGTTATAGCCATCTTTACCTATAAGGTAAATCAATCCCATTACATCTCCCTGAATTTTTTTAAGTTTCACACCCTGCATGGATCTATGGCTTCTCCTCCCATCCACCTTTCACTGGTTTCACAAGTATTTTTCATAATGAGGGACCTTGATCTAGTTCATTTATTCTCAGTGTCCCATGTTTCGTACTCCGAGTCTTCCAAAGAACTCTGATCGTCTATTGATTCTTCTTACCTGCTTTTTTGTTCATCTACATAGTCATTCAAACTAGCTTCACTTTGTACTTCCTTGTAATTTTGGCTAGCTCTTAACTGGTCTGCATGGTCAACAATATTTTTACCATTCTTGCAATGCCATTTTGTATCCTTTTTGCATTATGAAATTCGCCTTTTCTGTCTCGTTTTCTTTATTTCTTTTGTACCATATGTTTTCATTAATAGAGTAAGACATGGTTAATGGAGCTCTAATCTCTCTGCCAATTAATGCAGATGGGCTCTCTAATCTGTCAGCATGTGGTATCGTTCTGTAACTCAACAAAATCTGGGTAGGAAAGTTTCAATGTTTTCTTGCTGAGAAGAAAATACTTTCAATTCCATCTTTATTGTTTGGACCATTCGTTCAGCACTCCCATTTGATTGAGGGTGGTAAAAAGGTGTTTTATCAGTCTTAAACACAAGCACAGACTTTTGTCACAGAATTGGGGAGCATTATCAGTTACTAATGTTTTTTGGTACTCCATTTCTAGCAAATATTATGCATAATATTTGTTTTATAGTTATAGATTTTTTATCCTGAACTTCAGATCAGTTGGAAAAAGCATCAACCAGTATTAGACATAAACCCTGTTAACTTTTGCATGATCCATATGAACTCTAGACGGTGGTTCTGTTTCCTTAGGCCAAGAGTGTAACCTATTGTGGCAAAAATTCTTTATTTCGGCATATTTAGGACATTTGCATATGTAATTCTCCATGTCTCAGGTGTGTCCCAGCTACCACACTTCTAGTTTTAACCATTTTTGTGTAGCAGTTATCCTACAATGCACATCATCATGTACACTTTTAATTACTTCTTTTCTATATTTTTTCCAGTGATACAACTAAATCTCCACTAAAAATTAGACCATTTTCTATTGATAGTTTATGCTTGGGTTCTTTGTATGGTCTTTCTGCTTTTGAACAATTACTCCATTTATTGTTTCTTATTCTAGATAAAATTTGACTTAAGACTGGATCTTGTAACATCTCCATAATTAGTCTATTCATGAGCAACACATCCATTTCCACCCAATGCACAAATTCATCATCAACATTTTTATGTTTTTTCATTTTCTTCCTTTCTAAATTGTAGTCAGGACAATGTGTCTACATGTGGTATCATGTTTCCCTTCACATATTCTATATCCTAATTAAAAGCCATTAACTTCATAGCCCATCTTAATATTCTGGCTGATGTAACTTTCAGCAATTCCTCCCTAGGATGGAATATAAATTCTAAGGGCTTATGATCGGATCTCAACAAAAAAATCTTTCTCCTAATAAAAATTGTCTTGCTCTGGCCATACTCCTTACGATTACAAGTGCTTCCTTTTCAATATTATAGTAGTTCAATTAAGCTGGTTTCAATGTTCTGGAAAGATACATCACCGGGTATACTTTTTGGGACACAATTGCATATACAGACTGGCCACTCACATCTGTGGTTAATGTAACGTCCTTTTTAGGGTCAAAAGTCTTGACCATGGGTTTTTTAGATAATGCTTCTTTTAATTTAACGAAGGCTGTTTAGTGTGTACTCGTCCATTCAAACTCCTTATTATTCTTTTGCAACTCAGAAAACTCTTCAATTCATTCAGAATATTTTGACAAGAATTTGTTATAAAAAATGGCTAATCCGTGAAATGATTCCGGTTCTTTTATATTAGTTGGAGAAGATACATTTAATAATTTTGTATTAATGTCAGGTTCAGCCAAGTACCATTTTCTGAAATTTGGTAACCAAGAATTTTAATTCTTTGCAATTAAATATACACTTCGTATATACTTTGTTTATCATCATTCCTGTTTTCTTCAACTTATCCATTACAAATTATTTTTTTGTTTCAGTTCTTCTTCAGTAGCCACACCTAAACATATATCGTACTGATAAATTATCAGATTTTCTTAGAATACATTTATAAAATGCAAATGTAGAGGTCATTCCTGACTTTATTATGAATTTCAAGTATTGCAACATCTCATCTGTTCTGCCAGGTCCCCCAAACTGCTAACAGGCTGCCTCTTCACATAATTCACTCCACAATGTGATTTTAACGACAAAAAGTCTATTATATCAATATAAGCTTTGTGTTTTACAAAATAAACAAACCTTATATTGAAATCTCTTCCCTTCCCCATTTTTTCTTTCCTCCTTTTAACATTAAAACTTTTCCTATTTCTCTTTTTTCTCTCCCTTCCTTTTTTTCTGTTTTCTTTTTCCTTGTGTCTGAATAAATTGAACTTCACTTTTTGTAAAATTTGGTCTGAAGAGATGGACTTTTCAGTCTACGAAATAAAATATCACCTAAGGATTTTGTATTCATAATATTTGCTCTGTTCTTACACTGAGCTCTCCCTGGATTTATATTCTCCTTGGAATTATCCCTACTAATTATCAAGTGATGTCATTTATATATATATATATATATATATATATATATATATATATATATATAGTGTGACGGGGAAATTGTTGCCATTTTATATTTTTAATTTCACACATGTGCTTTGTTTTGTTTTGTCAGTATATTAGACTCAGTTTGGCACTGTCTGTGATAAAAAGAGCTCTATGACACACTTCACTCTGCCAGAAATTTGGAAAGTTTGGAAAAATCTG